GGATCCTGACTGTTGGGATGGAGTTGAAGTTCTTTACCAGTAAAAAGAACTGGGATTTGCAGGACTTCCATGGTGCCATATCATTTGCAGTTCATGCCAAAGAACTGAAAGGATTCCAACAACGTATTCAGGACCGAAAGCCTTCCACTGTTAAAGAAGATGGTTTTATCAAGGAGTTTTGGACTCATGCCTTTGGATGTGCATTTCAAGATTCTGATCTGGGAGATGAGAAGGAGGACATTTGCACTGGAAATGAGAAGCTAGAGAGCCTTCCTGAGCACGTTTTCCCAAAAAGAATCACAGGCCACAGCTATAGCATCTACAATGCTGTCTACACTGTGGCTCATGCTCTGCAGGCCATGTATTCATCCGCATCTGGAAGAAAGATTGTAATGAAAGAGGAAGGAAGGAAGCTTCATAATCATGGGCCCTGGCTGGTAATGGACTCACTAGTTTAGTCTGTGGTCTACTCCATTACAGGTAGCCCTCAACTTACGACCATTCATTTAGCAACAATTTGAAATTACGACAGCGCTGAAAAAAGTGATTTATGATCAGCCCTCCCACTTATGACTGTTGCAGCATCCCCTCGGTCACATGATAAAAATTTTGGCACTTCGCAATCAGCGTAAATTTACAATGGTTGCAACGTCCTGGGGTCACATGATTATGATTTGCGGCCTGCCCAGCCAGATTCCAACAAGCAAAATCAAAGGGGACCTGCAAGATTCGCTTAATAACCCTAGTGATTCACTTAATTACCACCACAAAAAATGTCATAAAATCAGGTGCAGTCACATGATGCCTTGCTTAATGACCACACCACTTAACAACAAATTTTCTGGTCCCTATTGTGTTCCTAAGTCAAGGACTACCTGTATAAATTCATGCTGTATATATCTATTATCTGTCCATGACAAGAATGTATACATGCCAAAAATTCTTGTACTACTAGAAATTATGTTTGGAACAAAAAAAAATTTCCCTTGTGGGAGATACAATTGATGGTCCCTTTCTTAGCAATTACTATGTATAAAACAAATATGGGAGAAATTGTGATTAGCATGGGTAGAAACATGTGTAGAAAGAATGAATTTATCATCTGCAAAAAATTGCCAAACTAAGTGGACAGGTACAATGACTCTTCCCACATCCATTGAAGATATATCTATTGGAAATGCTGATAGAAAATATTAATATACAACAACAGCACTATCATTGAGTATAATATATAAATAAGTGAAAAAGGATTAGAAGGAGAATATGAATACGATCCATGGAAGTTTTGAATCAAAATCTCAACAAAATCATAGGAATAGAAATGAGCTGAAGCAAACATTGAACAGCAAAGAATGAATAGCATTAATAGCAACCTTTATAAGGCAAATTGAACTCATAAACAATAAAAAATCTCCAGCACTATGTTGGACCCACATTCATATGACTCAAACATGATTCAATGCAGTACTGTTTGTACTGTTTGTACAGTATCTACCAAGATGACCTCCTTTGAAAAGTATTATTTATTGTTAGGAGAACAGACCATGAATCTCCCAAATATTACATGAGTGGTTTTTTCTTCTTCCAGGTGTTGACACTTTTCTTTGATACTTTTATTTCAGAACTTAACATTCCTTGTTAGAAAGTCTGTCATCAGGGCCTAAGTAATGTGACTGACAGTTCTAGTGTTTCTAGGTCTAAAATCTTTCATTAAGAAAACATTTTTACTGGTTATCCCTGTACTACTAAAGGGTTTTACTAAGAGAGTGGCAAAGGACTTTACATAACAAGTCCATTGAGAATACGTTTGGACCTAGTGGCACAAAGGTTGCTAGAATTAGGACATCATAGACATATTTTCTAACTTCTCGATGATGATTTAAGATGCAAGAATTAAGAGAAACATTACAGTGCCCCATCTCCTAGGATCTCAGAAGTCCTTAAGACCTGATTGTGTTATGACATGTGGGGTTAGTGTGTATCTCAACCCCCTGTCATGTTTTTGACTATTATGGTTGTTCTCTTGCTGGGCTGTTATATTCTGATGTTATGTATTTAATCCTGTTCATTGAATATTGGTTATGTTGTAAGCAGCCCAGGGTCTTTTAGAGTGGGCAGTTAAAGTATATTTAATGAATAATGGAAATACCTAAGATGATGATGATGATGATGATGATGATGATGATGATGATGATGATACAGCTGTTATATGCAAAGTTTGTTAAAATATTTTCTTTTCTGATCTAGTT